TCTCATTGTATACTTTTACAGTTTGAAAATTGAGAGCCAGGCATAGGGCATTCATCAAAGCTCGAGAAGAATCACAAACTGCTTGTTTAGGCTTTAATGCTCCCATATCTTGCCATTTTTTTATCCATAAAGAAAGAGTGTCAGTGTCCTGCAATTCAGTGAGCATATCATGAATAGATCCGCTGAATCCATCAAAATTAATGACAATGGAATACAGGAAGATGTGACCTGAAAGGGTTTTGTTGTAGCATTCCACCTTGTGCACAAGGCTTCCAGTTCCATCCACGGATATTGAAGAATAATTCCTGGAAATTTTGCAATACTGGTTGTAGGCGTGAAGCTGCTGAGGTGTGCTAAAACTGACAAAAAATTTGTCTTCTACAACTTGATGAATGCATCCGTGGTACTTAGAATCATATTGATCCACATTACCACCGACTCAATCTCGAACACCTATCGACTCAGTGCACAACTCGATCCACCCTATCGAGTGATCCGCCAGGGTACTGGTCCACTCGTTTGCTGTTATATAAATTTTGAACTCATCAAGACCAGCCCATTTTTCATCTAGCTCGAATGACTCATCAGCTGATTGAGTTTCTGAGTCTTCGAGAGTCGATTTGTGGATTGAGAAATTCTGTTTTTCTTCGGGAAATACAATCCCCAGCTCCTCACAAGCAATAGATAAAATTTTCTTTCGGTTATTCTTAACATTCACATACACGTTGTGTGGCGTCCACTTGTTCGCCAAGTCCCGGCTGATCTCTTTCCATATGATAGACGAATAAATGGGGAATTTGTCTCTTTCTTTGAAGTGTACGATGTATTTCTTTAATATTGCAACTGCATCTGCGACGGGAACTCGAGCCTTTGGTGGCATCGTCCCTTTGTCTCTTGACTGAAAAAATAATGTCCATTAAAATCAGCTAGCAAAAAAGACAGGGAGCTTGCGAAATTGAGTATTAATTACCCCCAGTTCAAATAATTACCCCCAGGGAAAACATTTTTTAATGATGTCAATTTTAATAGAATAAAGAAAAACTAGTCCAATTGAAAACAATTATGGCAGAATCTAAGCAATAATAACGGACATGCAATTTTAACCTCTGTGATAAAAATTGCTATTTTTCAAAATCAATTGCACCGATCCCTACTTTATCGATCTACAACTGTGGGTATTGATTTCTGATAGGATTTGATTATCCAACCACCAACCACGTGTAATTGCAAGAAATATGAGATTTTCATAATTGAAAGTCATGACGAAATTAATGTAATTGGGAATTAGAGTATTACAAAATTAACTCAGTACAGAGAATGTAACAGATTGACCGATTTTTGAAATTTCTATAACTACAGAACAGATTCATCAATTAATCCCAATCCAAACTCAAAAATACAACAGGTATGTTCACTCCCCATGGACAAATACATTTAACTCTATCAATAATCCAAAGAGCTATCCAAATGTTGAGAAAATTATTAGTATCTACTTCATTTTGTATGATTATGTATTTCGAAAATAGATGATTTTTCTACCGAAAATGAAAACCTAGTATCACTTACATCATTCTAACATCATCCACCCTTAAACACTGTAATAAATGAAATTAAAGCATAAATAGTGACTCAAATATCCCCCTGTCACGCCCGTGCTTTCCTTTCCCCAACTTTCGAGGCACATAATTCAAGAATGTGGTGAAGAAAGTTTCCTCTTATCAACAATTATCTATCAAAAAATTCCTAAAATAATTATAAAATAATTCATGATTAATAGGAATTACCTAGCATCTTACGTGAAAAAAAATCGTCTGGTCTCTTCCTGCGGATAATTAATCTCCACGCTTCTGGCCATTTAAAATCTTTTCCGGTTCAATT